CAAGTTAAACACGAATCTGAACTCAATTCCTGTGATTTCTAAAGATATTATATCACTCTGAGAGTAGAGTCAGTGGTCACCGGCTAGGGTCGCATACAGTATGGTCCATGCTAACTTAGCATGCCTGTATTTTCTCCTTGCAATTTAGTGATAAAAAACACAGTGAATATACCTTTTCACTTTTTGAAGTACACATAACACTCGGATTTAAATCCGAGGTTTTCGCATTTATTTTTCATTGAAAACACGCATTTGTATGAAGTGGAAATCAAGTTAGTTTTATAATTATCATGAAAGTGTTGTGTATTGCTTCAATATAAATATCTTTTTTCTTGCTAACCAAGCTTTTGTGAAGAATTCTGATTTCTTTTAATGACAATGTCAATCAAATGTGTGTTTCATCTTAAAGATAAATTCTTAAGAAACTCATCAATGGGTTTAGCAATATTAGTTGAAAGGCTAGAATATTGTGTGAATATTTCTATGAAAAAATGTCTTCTCTTTTATTAAACGATCTGATGAACAAGTTGGAAAATAAGATTTCCATTTGTATCAAGGGAATTTCGATTTATCTAAAATTTTTTATCAATTAGTCTTGTTATTTAGCAAAAAATTGAAATTCTTTATATCACGCAAAACTGATTAGTTTGTGTATTTAAAAGTTTGATTACTCTTTATTTCCTGTTTAATAAAGTATGAACTTATAAATACAATATGAAAATATTTGTATTGAAGTTACTTAAATATGACTGATGATAACGATGACAGAAGTGTTTATTTCCCTATTATTCATAAAAAACAAGTCTACAATTAGATAGAAAAAGATGATGAATGTATTACTGATAATATACTTCATCATTAATGGGTTTAATCTAATGACAAGAATATGAGCTATCATAAGTGGTTTAAATGATATTATTCAAGTTGGCAAGTCTATCTTGGTGATAGTTCTTCTCATTACGGTTCGTCAATATTGATTGAAGATAATGAAAATAGTGTTATTCATATGTGAACATGTTTACCAAGTACAGAATCAACTGAATAGGATGTTATTCATTATCATCATTCCAATAATAATGGTCGGATTTGGCCACCGGATGAAATGGCATTAATAGCAATGTCAGGTTGCCTTGATACATATTCTGCTTATGTTCCGGGTGTTGTTAATATTAATAACTATTATAATATTAGTTATACATTAACAGCAAATCCAAATGCAACACACAATCAACTATTTTTAGCACAATCATTGATTCGAGCAGGAACTATGAAAAATGGAATGGCACTAATTGAACTTCAAAAAATTCTCAAGCAATAGTGGTATATCATGATCTAGCAAGTACATACTGTATTGGGTGATCATCTTGAGTTCTTAAAGATAATTTCATTTGTGCTTATTATACGAGTTCAAATAACAATGATTTATTTACTGATTTAACTATGGCTCAATTAAATTCAACAAATCACGATGCATGGCCATTGAATTTACAATCTCAAGGACATGATACAACAAGATGCGTTAATGTTGATGCAGATTCAACTGATGTAAAATGGTGTCCCGAATTACAATTATTTATTGGTTTTACAAAAACAAATCGTTTTTTCATCTTAAGGAACTATTGGTGTATATGAATCATTAGACCAATATGGTTTATACTTATCTATCAACATCTTATATGAATCAAAATGTTTAGCAAGGTTCAAGGAATATCGGTATAACTGCTTCAAAATCTGGTTAGATTTATTTAAAAATCAAAATAATTTTGGCTCGTATGCTTATCAACTTGATGGTTCTAAATTGAAAATCGGTCGACATATTTAACACCTGCTGAAATTATTCAATTACCGATAGGCACTGCCATCGACAGCTTCGTTTTATTTTATTATAATTGGCCATTATTAACTCCTTGGTGTGGGAACATAATTGAACAACCTATTGGCCATCTCTAACACATAAGAATCTATCTGCAGTCATCAGTTTAAGAGAAATATTATCAATTGGAAGTTTATTTCTTGTACTTAGACCACCAACTGATTATGATTTTCAAATAGATTTTTTCATTTGCACAAGTAATGATAGTCTAAATTATATTTATATAATAAATCAGCATTATTTCAATTATGTATTTATTATCACTTGATGATTTTTTGCTCCATTTCAAGCACAACATTTCCAAATTCGACCAATTCATTATGAAATCAATGAAGATGGAAATAGAATGTGGATGTGCCTATTGATCTTTCATACACCCGCATCCCCACCCCCACCTAGTGATGAGTAGAACCAACCGTTTCGCCCCCGATCTTAGTCATAAAATAATGATTAGCTCTGATTTCGCACTGAGTAAAACGTGCACTAGCAAAAAATGTAATTTCATATTCTAGGAATGTCACTAACGAGGAACATATTTGAGTGTTCCCCCTGAGAAGGAATTTTAAAGTATTCCATGTGTTAGAAACCTTGATGTATATCTCGAATATCAATATATTAGCTGCCCCCGTTTAGGTCTCGAAAAACTATAGTATCAAACTTTCTCATTTTTAGGCTCTTTCTTACTAGTAGAATGCATTTTTTCGTTTTATGTTAAATTTGCAAGAAAAATCAGTTTTCTTTGTAAGCAAACAATTCGAAATCAACATAATTCCATATGGATGAGTCATCTCGCTATCACTAATGAAAATATTACATCTATTTTTTCTACTTAGCTATCTGTTTTCTGCATTCCTATGTTATCAAAAACGATAAGTAATCGATCACACGAGCATTTACTTCAGAAACGTAGATGTAATATCCTCTTCATAATACTGGTTTATTCATAATTAACAGTTGGTTTTTTCTAAGCATCAATTTCTTCTTCAGTATGTATCCCTGGTTCCTCTTCTTTTTTAATTCAGTTGTTTCAACAGGCTTAGGATCACATATTCTCTGATAAACTTTTCGTGCTAAACAAACTAATTTGATTTTTTCCTTCACTCTTGTCGTTTGCTTTCCTTCAAGTAGCAGTTATTTTTTTTATCATCAATCAGACAATTATTATTGATGTGCATCAATATCTTTATTTTTTTTTTTTTGTTGTTGAGCATAAATCGTTTTCCTTTTTCTTTAAAAATCATTAATATAAAAAAGTCATTTAAAAATATGTTTGAATATTTATAGCAGTTGTAGCTCGGCGTCTGGACCCATATTCTGCTCATCGTCGTTTAATTCTGTGCTGCCGGTTTGTTGATAACCATGTACTTCTACCAATAAAGAAAATTTTTTAGTGAATCGAAATATTTAATGTCAGCTTACGTGCAGGAACGCTGACACCAGGATCTGACTCAATTGTCTCATAACAATATAAGCTCTGTGCATTTATATTTTGTCCAATTGCTTCTCTTAAACCAGTAGTATACTCATCATCTGCATACAAACGACGTAAAGTTCTAAAGGAAAAAAAATGATCTCTTTAATTTTTGCATTCACTGATCGGTAGTTTTTTAGTGCTATTGTACCGACAATTGCACCAACAATACCAATAATAGCTGAAACAAGCCATTTCTTTATGTAATTATCCATGATTAATCAATAGAATGTGAATGACTAAATAATTCTGTAAATTCACGATGATAAATAATAATATGGCAATAATACGAGAAGGTTAAATCTAAAATACACAATGAGCATATGTAAATGGCTAAATAATTCAGTGTTTTTGCGACGATAAATAATAAGCATCACAATAATACGAGATAATTAAAAGTCTAAAACACAATGTT